AACGGGGAAAATATCTGTTCGACTTCCGGGCAGATTGAGGCTGAAAAAACTAGAACCAGCATTGCTAAGCCAGAATCAGTTTTGAGTTCCATGCAAAAGATGGGCTTGGAGTACCAAAATCTGTTTGGGGACTTTTTCCCACCACGGGTTCAAGAATCATGGCTTTGTTATGACGATTTGGATTGGCTCCTCAAGGGCAATAGTCAACTCGATCAAGAAATACGAGCTGAGAAGAAACCGAGATACGGAAATGATGTTTTATCTTCTTGCTCGAGAAGTTTGGGATTGTGGCCCCGCGCAGAGTATTTGCGTGAAGTCGATGTTTATGTTTTGCCTTTCACTGTGCCATATTAAGGTGTATGTGTTTGTTTGGAAACTGGTGGTCCTAGGTAATGCTAGAGGATATTTTAGGTTTTGCTTCTTGAGGGAGACCTACATTTCTTGGGACAGTGGACTATGGAATTTGTCTACTGACTAATGATGTTTTACCTCGAAGTGTAATCTAATTTCTTAAACTGTGTATTTGAATCAAAATTTCTAGTACTTGTTCTAATTGATACATTTTATGTATAGGTCTATTTTCCTTGTGGTTTGGACCTATATCCTATGAACACCAAAATGCATACAAACAAGATGAGTATATAACAAAATTTATGGGTCAAATCTCCAGTTGTTTGAATTTTAATCCCACAACTCTCAGGATGCTCAAGTGCTGCAGTTGTACTGTTTAATGATAGACAACGATATTTTTTTAGTCTAATTTTAGACAACTATATTTTTCTAAAAACTTGTCGCGGCTCGTGCGATGCACGAGTGATATATTTCACTGAAACTTTTTTAGTAATGAATTATAAATTTAATGGACTTGTTATATTTGTAATAAACATAAATGGGTCGGACACAAACCAAAAAATCATAAATTATTGAGCATTTCCTTGTACACAAGCTTTTTGGTTTGATTTGGTGGCGAGTTATCGTCACCACAGACTAATATTTTCAAAATACTTCAGATGGTGACACGAGAGAGAACAAACGTATAATTGCCTATGATTGAACACCGTCTTCTTAAGAAACAAAGAAATAAACCAACATTCGATAACGATTGTCCCTAACTCTTGTCCATAATGAGAATTGTCTGCCTCTGCAACTTTGACAAATTGAGTTGGTTTTCAATTTAGTTGATACTAGTGTGTAGGTCTTCGTGTCATCCAATTGGTGGTGCAGTGCTACTATCGTGCGCCATGGTACACCTAGCAAGGTGTACCAAGATAATTTAAAATGAACATGTTACATAATAAAATGAACATGTAAACATGTTTACACATGTATATTCTATTATGTAACATGTTTATTTTAAAAATGCCTTGACACACCTTGCTATGTGTGACAGTGCACACCAAAGTATTTGCGTTGGTGGTGGTGTTCAATGAGTTTTGAGTTT